TAAGTACTTAAATTCTCTAAAGTAAAGGTGAACCTGTCAAAACACTGATTTTTTCCTAACGATTCAAGGTTTCTTATGAATGGTGCTCTTTTCTATTCTGATCATCTCCCCAAGGTAAACTGACTTCCCCCAGGTGTTGACTCTGGAAAGGGAACCCGCAGGGTGGGGGAAGTACCCAGAATCTCAGCAGGGTTTTCTTACCGGGGCTTGTGCAATAATCTAGAAAAGTCGCATGCTCTGACTGAACGATGGACTGGAGTGTACATGTGGGGGCCCTCTCCCCTCTCTGCTCCTGCAGCCCCCCTTTGAACGGCCCCCAGACAGGGAGGCTCAGCCACTGGTGCGGACTCTGCTGGCAGCTCCTCCCAGACCAGCAGGGCCTGTGCACTTGTCAGGGACAGGAAAGGTTCCGGGGAACACTTCTGCCATGAGGCACAGAGTGGGGGACAGGGGCCCCCACCACACAGCCTCCCACCACTTAGAACACCAGCTCTCCTCACCAGGGCTTTCCACCCAACCGCCAACTGCAGTCTCACTCAGGGTGCTTTGTAGGTCTCAGCTCATCCACCACCCAGGACATCTGCGCAACTGCTAGGAAGAGTGAGGGAGATTTCACAGGACACACGTGGAAAAATATTCAAGATATATTGTCAAGTGGAAAAGTAAGAACTTGAAGAACAAGTTTAAGAGTGTGAATCTGTTCTTTTCCGTGTATTCTGTGGACAGCTAGCGTGTGGTGAGAAAACATTCAGAAGGAAGTTACACTGGTGGTTAGATTATGGGGACACTAATGTTCTAAACTGCCTTGTTCTGGGTTATGAAATATGTTTGTAATAAACACGTGCACATTTGTGAATAGAAGATTCCAGGGTGAGAACAAATGTGCTCAACCAGACCTTGAGCGTCCTCTTCATCCTCCCAGGCACTTGCTCTTGGGGCCCAAAGACATGTCCTCCTCACCCAGCAGGGTGATGGGCCACTCACTCCCTACAGTGCATGCTGGGCCCCTACTCGTGCCAGGCGCGGCTGGCAGGCTCCACAGACCATCCGCGGTCTCCTTCCTGGAAGTCCACGTTCTCTCGCCTCCCGCGGGCCCTGGTCAATGGGGGAGGGGAAGGGAGAAGCTGAGAGTGGGCAGAAGGCAGCAGTCAGAGGATAGGAGGCAGTTCAGGGTTCTTGAACAGGTGGGGCATCTGCCCCCCAGGATCAGGACGCGCCTTGAAACGCAAACTTTGAACCTCACTCCCCTGATCACAATAGAGCATCCGGGAAGCGCCCAGTGTCCCCACCTCCGGAATGAGGTCGACAGGACCCGGAATGAAACCACATCCCCAGGGCAGCCGCCAGAGCAAAGGTTTGCATCACATCCCTGTTCCCTGTCCGCAGAGGGGCAACCAGAGGAGGCAGGGCTCCTCTCCTGATGGAGGACGTCTAAGTAGACGTGAATCATATCTACGATGTGAATATTAATAAACAGAAAGCTCGTTTAAAACGGAGTCGGAGGCCAGAGGGAGCAGCTCTCACGGCACCACCAGAGCCCAACTAGAGAAAAAGACTTCCTCTTCTTGCCTGGCAACAGCTCAGCCAATGAAAAGCCGCTACACTTGGGACTGGAGAGGGGTCTCCTCCAGTGAACTGTAGCCCTCCCAACTTCCCCTTCCCCTCTATAAAAGAGTTTCTCTTCCCCTTTTTGGCAGACTTGCAAGTGGCTGGCCATAGTTGTAGATCCAGGATTGCAATTCTTTGCTGATCCCGGATAGAAATAACTGGCTATTTGCAACCTGTTGGCAGAAAGTAGACATTGACTGACTGCCGGGGCGCAAAGCCAGGGTATAAAAGTAGTGGCAGGCTGCATAGCTGTTGAGACCCCGCGCACCCCCAGGGTTGCAGGAACGTCCCAGCGCCCCGGGAACACACCGAGTAATTCCTGATGCCTCTGCCAGGTTTCAGCCGGCGGCGGCGGGAACTAGGAGCGCTCCCTGACCTCACCCGGCAGCGCGGGCCGAGCGCACCGGCCGCCTCGGGCGCCCGAGCGGGGCGCGCCCCAGGTCCCAGGCCGGCGCGAGGAGCCAGGCCTCGGCTCCGGGGCCCCAGGACCCTTGTCTTCGTCGTCTGCAGTGTCCTGCTGCCGGTGAGTCCTCGCCGCGGTTCCTGGCTCGGGAAGGCGTGTCTGGTGGCCGGGAGGGAGCAGGGGGAGTTGGGAGACGCGGCCGGGTGCCTGCCCGGGTCACCAGCTGCCGGTGCATGTACTGCAGGACCGACCCGGGCAAAGTCGGCGGAAGAGCGGGGTCCCCGGCCGGCAGGGCCGACCAGGGCCGAGGGAGAAGAGCCCGCGCTCCGCCTGCGGGTCCCTGGAGCGGCTGGCCACGAAGAGCCCCAGCCCCAGCAAGCCTCAGAGTGACAGATAGATTACCTTTTCTTTCTTTTCATTCTTCTCCGTCCTATTCCTCTCCCCGACCCCCAGCACCCTATTTTACCTTACGTTTAAATTCTAAAACGTGCTTGTTGCAACTCGGTTCAGGTTGCAGCCGGCGAAAAGGAAATTTCCCTAGGCTGCCCTACGCAGCTTCCAGTTCCGCCCCCTGAACGGCCGCTGGGCACAGTCTCCCAAGTTCCTGCCTGTCACTTTGTAGCACAGCAACAGGTACAGGCGCTGTGTAGACCCGGCCAGTCATCTCAGGCCTCGGAGGCTCGCCCCTTCCTTTAGGATTCAGGGTGAGGCTCTGGTCTTGATTTTGCTTCTGACCCAAGCCAGTATTGGTGTGTACCCTAAAGAAACTCATTAGGAGAAAAATATGCTTACTTCCATTTCTTTTCCAGGTTGTTTGAGGCTCTTTTCGAAGTTTCTTATACATTAAAAAAGAAAAAATTAAGGCCAAACAAGGTTACAGGAATCATGAAAATTTACGTTTTCGCTGAACAAATTACTACTAAAATCGGAAAACCAGTATCATTTTGCACTCAAAAAATTATAGAATTAATTTTTAGAATACCAGTTTGTAATGGATAGGACCCACGTTTACCACTGCTTGATGAATGGCTCACTTTAGTCAGGCTGGTGTGAATCTGGATGAATATAAGTACGCCTGTGCAGACAAGGTAAAAAATCTGAATTTGATGGTTTGGGGAGTGTGAAACCCAGGCCTTCTGGTGTCCCCAACCACCGTCTAATCCCTCCATTAATCTTGCCTTTTTCTATGTATTTTTAGGCATGATCACTTTTAAAACTTTGTGGTAATCCAAATTACATGTGTTATGTCAGTATATTCAGCTTTATCTTATTCTTTTAGCAATGGTCTAGTATTTTATTGCATGAGTGAACCACAATTTATTTTAGTCTTCTCTCATACTGATAGCTGTGTAGATTATATCCTGTTTCTGTTTTTGCTAATTTCAACAGCATTATAGTTAATACCTTTGTACATGTCATATATCCACATAGCTATGTGCACTGTCTATTGAGTAACTCCTTAGAAGTGGAATTGCTGTGTCAGCAGGTCAGATAATTTTGTACTTTTGTTTAGATAATGACCAGCTGTCCTCCACAAGAAGGCTGTACTGTTTTACACTCACACCGAGTCCACAAGTACTCCTGTCTCCTTACACCCTCACTACACTGAACTTTAACTCTTTCCTAGTCAAGAGATAAAAAATGGTGCACCACAGAGTTGTGGTGTTTGTTTGTTTGTTTGTTTTTTGCTGAGGAAGATTGGCCCTGAGCTAACATCCATGCCCATCCTTCTCTATTTTGTATGTGGGATGCTGGCACAGCATGGCTTGATAAGTAGTGCATAGGTCCACACCCGGGATCCAAACCTGCAAACCCCGGGCCGCCGAAGCAGAGGGCACAAACTTAACCACTATGCCACTGGACTGGCCCCAAGAGTTGTAGTTTTGATTCCTCGGTGCTCTTAGAGATTTCAAGGATCTGTGAGGTTTCTGAGACTGGGAGCAGGTGACCAGGAGACCCGGATTAGGCTGCAGGGGAGGGCAGCAAGGGGACTGGAATCCCAGCTCTGCCCTTGAGCTGTGTCACCTGGGGCCAGTTACCACCCCAGCCCTGCCTGTAATGAGATGGGGCCCATGTGCTCGGGCTGTTGGAAGGGTGACATCAGATGGGGCCCAGTGCTGAGCCCTCTCCTGGCCCCAGGTCCTTGTCTGCAGTGCTGGTATGGCCCCATTTCAGGTCCCTCTCTATCAAAGTAGGAACTGTGAGGTTCAGAGGCTCAGAAGCTCAGTCAGGCTGTGTGAGTCCTGCTATGGGAGCTGGAGACAGCAGGCCTGCTCAACTCCTTTCCAGCTTTGGGCCCCTGGTGTGGCCCCCGCTTCCTCCCATGTGAAGTGGGGAGAAGTCTGCAGGGCCCTTTGTGAACCCCTGAGAGCTGTGGGGGCGCCGTGGGAGGCTGTGTGGGAGGACAGATCCCATCCTCGGGTGGTGTCCACCACTGTGGTGCTGGGAGGGCCACAGGGCACATGGTGTCCAGCCCAGCAGTGGCTGCCACCTGCTCGTGTTGGCACCTTGGTCTCGGCTCCCTGTGGTGGAGGCAGGAGCTTCTGAAGAACAGGGAGGAGAGCAATGCTGGAGGAGGTCGTGGAGGAACGCAGAGGAGCCCAAATGTCAAGTGATGACCATAATGGCATTGCAGGGCCACAGGCCTGGCATCCTCAAATGACTCAGTTGTCCCTGTGCTGAGGGCCCCACACAGGTGCAGTCTGAAGAGTGAGCAGGTAACGCATCAGTCCCTGTGGCTGCAGGTGCCTGGTCACCAATTATGGTGGCTCAGAAGTCCCACTATCTGCTGTCAGTGCTGTGGAGAACCAGGAAAGTAGGTGATATAATTGAGTCAGAGTCTGAAGGCCTGAGAACAGGGAAGCCAACCAGTAGATTCCAGGAAGGCCTGAGAACCAAGGGCACCAAAGGCAGAAGATGGATGTCCCAGCTGGAGCTGTCAGGCGGGAAGGGCCAAATTCTTCTTTGCTCTGCCTTTTTGTTCCATTCAGGCCCTCAAAGGGTTGGATGATGCTCACCCACACTGGGGAGAGCAAAGTGCTTTACTGAATCCATCAGTTCAAATGTTAATTTCATATGGAAACACCCTCACAGACTGAAGGAGAAATAACTTGCTTAGCTAAATATCTGGGCACACAGTGATCCAGTAAAGATGACACATAAAATTAACCATCATAGCATGGTTTTCTGTATATTGGGTTTTGCAGAATTTCTTAGACCTTTGGCTTTATAGTTTATCCAGCTTGGAAGATTTTTGGCTATTCTGTCTTTAAATATTTCGTCTGTCTTCTTCCTTTAATGGGCCTTCAATTGCTTTTATGTTAGAATCCTCAGTATTATTTCAGAGATAACTTAGGATCTGTTCATTTTTTCCTTCGTTTTCTTCTTATGTTTCATTTTGGGTAGTTCCTATTGCTCTGCCTTCAAGTTCGCTGATCTTCTGCAGTACCTAATCTGCTGTTAATCCCGTCCAGTGTATTTTTCATTACAGATGTTGTACTTTTTTAATATCTAGATGTTCCATTTGGGTCTTTTTAATATCTCCCATCTATCTCCTGGTCATGTTCATGTTTTCTCTTTTATATCCTTGAGTATGTATATAAGATTTAGATTAGTGTTTTAAGTTGTTTTTCTAAATTCCATTATTTCTGTCACTTCTTTGTGTCTGTTGATGAATTTTTTTCCTATTCATGGGGATATTTTCCCAATTCTTTTATGTCTAGTAATTTTTTATTAGATGAAGACATTGTGAATTTCACTTTCTTGGGAACTGAATTTTGCAGTATTCAGTTAAAGAGTGTTGAGTACTGTTCTGGTCACAGTTAAGAAAACTGAATATCAATTTGATCCTCCAATAATACCTTTTATCTTTATGCCTAGGCTACAGTTGCCTTATTTGGGGCTAATTTAGTTAACACCAAGGGTCTAGTAATTAACTGGTAACTAGCCAGCACCGTCTTCTGCGGTCTGTCTGCTCTGGTAGATGGGAACATGGACATTTCCCAGCCCTGGTGAGCCTCGGTCCTTGTCCAGCCTGCTGATTTCCAGTGGTCTCTTCTCAGCCTGGGTGGGTCCCTCTCGTGTGTGCACAGATCAGCTCTCACCCAGACCCTGGACGGGCCCCTCTGCACATCTCCAGAGCCCTCTCTGTGCAGCTTCTCCTTCCCCAGTTCTTTGCGCTGCATTCGGCCTCTTGGACTCCTCTCTGTGCCTCCTCAGCAGAGGCCCGGGGCTTCCAGTGCCCCGTCCCTGAGCTGTAGCCTGGAGACTGTCCTTGGGCAGTATGCTGAGGCCAGCACTGGGCTCCCCTCCTGTGTGTCTGGGGGGTGGGGCGCTGTTATTGACCCCCCAAGGAGTTGATGAGCCCTTCACTCGGAGTGTCTGGGCCCTGGGGGAGAGAATGAGTGAGCCCGTGTTCATCGTGCTCCTGGGAGCTCACAGTCTGGTGGAAGAGATGAGACCAGGGACCTAAATAACTAAAATAAAATGCTGTGAGATCCTATCACCCTCACTTCACCCCACCTCCAGAGAGGCTGTGATGGTGCCAGGGAATGTCATTCCCCTGTATTTGGACCCTGACAGAGGTGAGGCCATTTTGTTGCAAGACCCCAGGTTATGATACTGCTGGCCTGGAGGATGTGGTTTTGATTAAATCAACATTGTGGGTAATGTTTATACTAACCACAGCATGTGATTAAATATAGAACTTAGCATGTGTCAAGCTGTTTTCTCTCTGTGTGTTTCTTTGTCTTTCTGTCTCTCTCTCTTACACACACACACACACACACACACACACACACACACACACCCTGTGGACTGACACAGCCTCAAATCTCTGGCCGCACCCTTGGGCTCTCAAGCAGAGGTAACCATGTACTAGAAGGTCTCCTCCTCTACCCCACTTAGTATTGCCCCTACTCCCCCCACCCTGTTACTTTGACTCCATTCTTGTCTGTGATCCTGTCCATGTAGACTCTTCCCTCTATGTCCACCAGTGTCCCCACCACCCATGGAATTTGTCACCTCTGCCTGGGCAGCACCCCCAGGCTCTTTTCACCTTTGTCAACCTTGAGGTTACCTGTGTCTCTGCCTCAGCTCCCTGTGACCTGGAACTGTCCTGAGGAAAGGAAGGGCCACATCTTGTCGTGACTGAAAACAGTTAAGATTGTATGTTTTAATCCCTATACCAATTGCATATACACAAGGAAACATGTATAGATAAAAGGCCAGTACAGGGCCAGCTCCGTGGCTTAGCGGTTAAGTGCACGCGCTCTGCTGCTGGCAGCCTGGGTTCAGATCCCGGGCACGTACCGATGCACCACTTCCCTGGCCATGCTGAGGCCGCGTCCCACATAC